CATGGATATAGCTAACAGCGGGTGCAACCAGAGAAGTTTGAGGTGCAGAACGAATGACTGAAGTTAGCACCTACGTCCAAGGCAGCTTTAGGCTGAAAAATAATTGTTTCTGAACGCACAAGGCTGGATTCATCCGGCTTATAGCCATGGCCTCAGCGAACCGAAGGAAGTGGAGATCAGTGTGACGTAACATAACTTTAAATGCTGAGCCCAGCTCCATCCGGTGACCCGAGTCTAATAGGTATTTTCCAATCGAGGAAGCCGGCTGTCTGCGGGAACACGGAATCTGACAGTTCAGTCCGTGCAGTCTTAAAGACTCGTTTCAACTCATCGGCGACCTGGATGAACTCAACCTGTCAGACGCAGTCATTTGTTCTTTGGATGAAGAACCCTTATTTACCAACGTCTCGCTACATCAGACGGTTGGTTACGTGTGCAAATTCGCTGAAAACGGTGGCTGTTCGCTTCCAACTCTGACTGAATTGCTAAGAGAATCTCTACTATTATGCTCGGAGAATGTAGACTTCCACTTCCGGAATACACCATACCGGCAAATTGACGGCGTAGCAATGGGTAACCCATTAGGTCCTATTCTCGCTGATTTCTGCATGCTGACGTGGAAAGAAGCATTTCTACGGAAATAGCGCAGGTGCCATGCTACAAACGATATGTCGATGATATCTTGGATTTCTGTTCGTCGGAGCAGCAGCTTACACATTTGGCAGTACGGTTCAATGGTGCTCATGTTAACTTACGGGTTAAATGCGAAGCAGAACAGGACAATTTTCTGCCATATATGGACATACTCATAAGTCGCAGGGATTATGGATTGATTAAGTGGTCCATTGACCGAAAAGCAACTTGGTCCCGTCAGTATCTGCACTTCACCAGCTTCACACAGTGCGGTACAAACGGACACTTGTGAAGACTCTAGTTAGTCGTGCCAGAAGAATTTGTTCGGTCGACTCTCTGGACGATGAGCTAGTGTTAATTACAGCAACACTAGTGGCGAACGGCTACCCTCGAAGATTTATCGAGAAACACAGCCAACCGCGAGGGCCAAAAGACTTGGTGCACACTGCAGCCAGGAAGAAAGGGTATATCGAGTTACCTTTCAAAGGTGACAGCCACGTGGAAGACAACTAAGCGTACAATTTCGACTACACGAGGAAGTTACTGTGCTGCACAAGTCATCGTCATCAACCGAACCCGAAATTTGCCCATACCTCCAACGAAAGAAGCTCAGCCTATTGGGGCCAACTCACACTGTGTATATCAATTTGTATGTGACTGCGGAAACAGTTACATAGGCAGAACTAACAGAACGCTGACTTCCCGAATAAAGGAACATGTACCAAGATGGGTTCAGCGTGAAGTTGCTCAGCTTGCCTACCCTCGTCAGATTCCATGTTCGCGCAGACCGCCGGCTTCCTCGATTGGAAAATACCTATTAGACTCGGGTCACCGGATAGAGCTGGGCTCAGCATTTAAAGTTATGTTACGTCACACTGATCCCCACTTCCTTCGGTTCGCTGAGGCTATGGCTATAAGCCGGATGAATCCAGCCTTGTGCGTTCAGAAACAATTATTTGTCAGCCTAAAGCTGCCTTGGACGTAGGTGTGAACTTCAGTCATTCGTTCTGCACCTTAAGCTTCTCTGGTTGCACCCACTGTTAGCTATATCCATGCATATCCGTTATTGTTAATGGTACTGAGCAGACAATACAAAATGCATGCATCTATCAGCCTTTGTCTTCTTTCCGTGCTTTTCCAATTCTTGGAGGGAACTAACTGCTTTAAAGTCTTTTGTTAGGGAATTCGTTTGATCTGAGCTCAACTTGAGCATACCCGGTTGCATTGTTGCTGAAATCATATGCGGAAATACATAGCAACTGAAGCTTACATTTTTGAATAGGTTGAAGACGATTTCTGGGCAGCTCCAGTTCCCACAGAATGTGCGAGTGACACCTCGGCTGTCGTCGTTACGGAGGGTGAGTTTCTGTTGCTTCCCATTGGCTCTCTTTTCTCCAAGTATAGCTTACTAACTACAGCCAGTGGTTCATTTATGCGCCTGAGTGCAGTGTTTGTCTGGAGGCCGCTCTACGGATAGTCAGTTATGCTATACTTTACTCACCGGTTGGTTTAGTTCAACTAGATGATGGTCGATCGAATTACCAGATGGACATTTCTCAGTAGTCCTTTGTTTTTCCCACCAAGCCTCAGTGAATAGCTGAGAGCCCTAGACATTCAGCAGCTCTATTCCTTTGGGATTCACACCAATAAAAGTTGATACCCAACTCAGGCCTCACCGAACGTTTAGATATCTGTACCGAGATTCATTGTAAAGCTCAGAATAACTTACGAATCTTAACCAACACTAGCTATTCATGCGTTCTTGGACGGCCAGTAAGCCCAAGTTTTCTAGCAGATTCACTAGATAGGGTTATTTTGAGTACAAATCAATTCCCTCAATAGTAATGGAAAACGCACACCTTACCAAATCATTTTTGCATTTCTGGTTGCTTTAGCCTCCACCTATAGCCAAAGCCTTCCATACTCAACTCTAGTGTCCAGCGTACTACTTTGGTGATCTTGGAACTTCTCATGAAAACGTTCTAACCGCCTATCTGTACATATCCTCATGTTTTTGAACATGTAAGCAGGAGAAATATCAGTCTTGAATGGAAACGAATGAGTTGATTCTCTATCCTGTAATTCAGACATTATAGATTTAGCAAGCTCAATACTGCGGATACCAGTGCGCACCTCGGTCAGACACTAAATCAACTGATATGGGGAGAAATTTTACTTATTTCCATCATGCGTTCTCAGTGTAACTCCGTAGAAGTTAGAAGGCATTGCGAAGCTTCACAAAATAAGCAGGACACGAATTGCGTAAGCCACTTTCGGATCCTGACGCATAACTTATATGTATGTCGGGAGAAAATAACAACGGGTTGAAACATTGTCCCGGTGTCCCGCAGCGTTTTACATTCTAAGCCTTCGTTTGCCTCTTTCTCCGGCAGATACGGAGCTTCCCCCTGGGGATGATGAGTGACGATACACCCAGCTATTATTGCGCAAACGAAAATCAATAACACCGTCCATACACAATTAATGGGCACCAAAATAGCTTGATAAGTGTTTACAGCCGTATGCATATATTATTCGCCGTGTTCCAAATCTGCATGGGTTTCATGAGCCGCGAGGACAAATCGTTATCACCTACACCGGCACTGTTTATATTCACTATATTTGTCTCTAGGTGAAGGAATTAACAGAGGAGTTGGTTGAAAGCCTCAATTTAATTGATGGACCACATCCACAGAATAAGCTGAGTAAAGTCCTTTTACGAAGATAGGATTAGCAACCGCAGACCATTGACTTGCGCGATATTCCATATTTGTATCGGTCTTATTGCAGCTATGCGTAGACAGCTCTCGATTATCACCAACTGTATCGCACACTGAGTTCTCAAGTCCGAAAATGTCAGTATTTCCGTGACGATGTTTAATCTAGTTGTGGCTCTTCAGGCAAGATAGACCCACCTTGTTGCAAAGTTTGTCGTATGGCTTATTAATGGCCGAAGTGTTCTCATTGTAACCGGCCGCCTCGACAAGTTCTCGCAAGCCGGGACACCCTAGGTTACGCGTTGCTATATCTCTACTTCCAACCACTTTCAAGAACCGCTGAATTTATATTCTTGCACATTAACTATACTGCTTTTTACCGTCAACTGGACACTATCTTAAACATTTATGACATTTTCGCACATGTGTGGAAGATGCTGAATCGACCTCTGTAACTACCAAACACTGGGCAGAATGGCCGAGATCAAATGTGCTGATTGTTTACAACTGTCGGCATCGCTTTGCGAAGGGATCGGATAAACCGAAGGGGCCATGTGTGTTCCCATTGGTTTGAATAATAACAGCATTTGCAGCATGAAGGAACCACCTTGAGCAGTCTTGTGGCTATCTGAGCATTGATCTTGGGCTCCCTGGATAATCCTATGTGCAAAACTTAACAGGTACCTTAAGATAGGTCCTAGTTTCGGGATAATTTTTGGCAGTCATAAGTAGTATCCACCACTGAGGCGTACTCTGCTCGTCAAAATGAACGAAAATAGATGTTCCACGAAATATGGCCATTAGATGCCTAATTGTGGACTCAAGTGATTACTGAGGTCCCGTGTCGGCCAGCAATTGATACCACCCTATAGTACTCGGTTCCCATATGGTACCAGGAATATTCATCAAAGTCCAACCGGTTGTAGACGCCCCAAAGAAAGGGCAGCTGTGTCTCTCCAATTAGTTGCATCAAGTCTCCTATTCATGAGTACCTCACTTTGTCTCGCTACTATTCTAGACATCGACGCAACTGGAGCTGAAACGATCAAAGTAACAAAATGCGTTTTAAAACAGTCAGTTGAAAAAGATTCTTCCTCACGTTAGACACATTGGCATTCACCTTGAAGTCCCTGGGATCCATTGCAGAACAACACTCGGGAAAGCTGTCTTCTAGATCAATGCGGTTGTCATAGAAACCTTTCTAACTTGCGATCTTCACTTGTTTTTCTGGGGCAATGTGGTACGTTCTTACCGGTAAAGGGAATTATACACGATCCGGTGGTTAGACCTGTTTCGCATCCCCAGTTTGTTGTTAGCTCATTATGATGCGAAGATGAATACTATTCGTCACCAGTGCATGAATGGACAGAGTCGGAGCGACCAGATATCATGAGACCGAACGCATACGGTAGTTACCCATTTCACTGGATCATGCGTTTCAAATGAACCCCCTCATGACCGTATTGGATGCAACCACAACCATGATGAATTTCAAAAAATTCTTTCGTCGACGCTTCATTCATCATATCTTTAGCTTGCTCGTCTATGGCACAGCACTTTCTTTTGTCATGTAAGTTTGCTTGTGAACTGTCGGATTAAATTCGCTAACTTTTTCTCGATTGGATCGACAATATGAAACTGCTTTATATTCCCTTGAACTCTATGTGCGACACATTAAGCAAAGCATCTTTGAACTGGACGAAAACTACAAAGGAAATGTCCGCGGGTGTTTCGGGATAGTCTGGGATTGTGCACGAAAACCAAGACCACTTTATCTCTGCGGCTAGACGCGATGCCATTCTTCCGACCAAGGCGGCCGTTTCTATAGGCAGTTGTTTCAATCGTCGACCAAGAACTTGGCGGCCTACAATCAGCCGGAGTTATCAAGGGCACCCCCATTGTGATCATCGAAAATACTAGCAGAAAAATCCGCCTAAATGCCGACTGTTCTGCAGATCTGAATGCTGCGTTAGACCACAGGTACCCTCTACTTTTTCCTGAAGACCTTTTTACGCGCCTGAACGGTGGCAAGTGTTTTGCCAAACTGAACTGGTCCGACGTATATCTCCATCTTGAAATGTCGGAGGAATCGCGGGAGTTGCTAACGATAAATCCCCACAGAGGACCAGTCCAGTATACACGCTTGCACATTGGTGTTAAGTTGGCCCTGACAATTATGGACACGATGCTACAAGGAATACCGTATGCCGTTGCATACCTGGATGAAGTCATTATCGTGAGATCTAGCCCGGAATAACTACACCAACGAACAGAACATGTGTTTGACAGAATAAAGGAGTATAGATTTTGCCGAAGAATGGACAAGTGTGCGTTTTTCATGATCTCCATTAAATACCTCGGCTTTATTACTGACTAAAGTGGGCGGCGACCTGATCCATCAAACATCAAGGTGATCAAACACAGGCCCCCCACCTAAAGACATGGCGAAGTGGAGATCATTCCTGGGTGTGGTGAGTTATTACAGTACCTACCCACCGTCCATGCACGGCCTACGCGGACCATTAAACCGATTGCTGATTAAGCATGTTCCACATGTCTGGACCACCGAATTTCTGGATGCTTTGGAAAAGATCAAGTTGTCATCAAATTCAGAACTAACGCTGACGCACCACGTTCTAAACCTGCCAATCGTCATGCCATCGGATGCATCCAGCTACGAAGTTAATGCAGTCATCTCGCACATTTTTCCAGACAAATCTGAGAAGCCAGTTTTTCATGCCGCTCCTTCGTTGATAGCAGCAGAAAGAAATTATAACCATATTGAGAAGGGAGCTTTTACTATTGTGTTTACACTGAAGCATTTTCCTAGAATGCTACGTGGCCGTCACTATACCTTATTAACGAATCATAAACTGCTACTTATTATATTCGGCTCAATGAAAGGAATTCCAGTATGTACTGCCAATCGTCTACATAGATGGACAATCACTTTGCTGGGGTATGATCTCGATATCAAATACAGATCGACAAAAGACATTTGTCAGGCTGCTACACTATCACAACTGTTGGACGAACAGGACCATCCAGACGGCACAGTCGTTGCTATTCTCTCTATCGAAACGGAAGTCAACTATGTCTTCTCATATACTGTGTGTCAGCTCCCAATACCTTTCAGTCTGATACATGACGTCAGTTTACGAGACCAGTTATTGTCAAAGGTGAGCACGTTTTACCGTTCCCAGTAACCAGTGAAAAGTTCGGATGCGCAACTACAACAGTTGTTCCAGAGACGAAATGCATTATCGGTCGTTGAAGACTGTATCCTGTTTGGTGAACACGTTACCATCCCAAATAAACTCCACTCCAAAGTCCTACAGCAGTTTCATGCTGGACATCCCGGCTCCAACAGAATGAAGGCTCTAGCGAGCACTTAACTATGCGAGCCGTTTGTGGATTCTCAAATTGAGGAATTCATGTGCAAAGTGTGCTCTAGCTGCGAAATCAACGCGGAAATGCGGACTGTTCTCCTGGCCGACGCGCACTAAAGCATGGTCAAGGATTTGCCTTGATTTTGCAAGGCCAATCAGAGGACGGAACCTCTCGCTTAATATCGTTGCATACAGCAAGGGACCCGAGATCTTCCAAATGTCGAACACCTCAACATTGGCCACGATCACAAT